GGGGACATCTTACAGCCCTGTTTAACTCCCAGTGATACAGTGGATGGAGGTGGGGACATCTTACAGCCCTGTTTAACTCCCAGTGATACAGTGGATGGAGGTGGCGGACATCTTACAGCCCTGTTTAACTCCCAGTGATACAGTGGATGGAGGTGGGGACATCTTACAGCCCTGTTTAACTCCCAGTGATACAGTGGATGGAGGTGGCGGACATCTTACAGCCCTGTTTAACTCCCAGTGATACAGTGGATGGAGGTGGGGACATCTTACAGCCCTGTTTAACTCCCAGTGATACAGTGGATGGAGGTGGGGACATCTTACAGCCCTGTTTAACTCCCAGTGATACAGTGGATGGAGGTGGGGACATCTTACAGCCCTGTTTAACTCCCAGTGATACAGTGGATGGAGGTGGGGACATCTTACAGCCCTGTTTAACTCCCAGTGATACAGTGGATGGAGGTGGGGACATCTTACAGCCCTGTTTAACTCCCAGTGATACAGTGGATGGAGGTGGCGGACATCTTACAGCCCTGTTTAACTCCCAGTGATACAGTGGATGGAGGTGGGGGACATCTTACAGCCCTGTTTAACTCCCAGTGATACAGTGGATGGAGGTGGGGGACATCTTACAGCCCTGTTTAACTCCCAGTGATACAGTGGATGGAGGTGGGGGACATCTTACAGCCCTGTTTAACTCCCAGTGATACAGTGGATGGAGGTGGCGGACATCTTACAGCCCTGTTTAACTCCCAGTGATACAGTGGATGGAGGTGGGGGACATCTTACAGCCCTGTTTAACTCCCAGTGATACAGTGGATGGAGGTGGGGGACATCTTACAGCCCTGTTTAACTCCCAGTGATACAGTGGATGGAGGTGGCGGACATCTTACAGCCCTGTTTAACTCCCAGTGATACAGTGGATGGAGGTGGGGGACATCTTACAGCCCTGTTTAACTCCCAGTGATACAGTGGATGGAGGTGGGGGACATCTTACAGCCCTGTTTAACTCCCAGTGATACAGTGGATGGAGGTGGCGGACATCTTACAGCCCTGTTTAACTCCCAGTGATACAGTGGATGGAGGTGGCGGACATCTTACAGCCCTGTTTAACTCCCAGTGATACAGTGGATGGAGGTGGGGACATCTTACAGCCCTGTTTAACTCCCAGTGATACAGTGGATGGAGGTGGGGACATCTTACAGCCCTGTTTAACTCCCAGTGATACAGTGGATGGAGGTGGGGACATCTTACAGCCCTGTTTAACTCCCAGTGATACAGTGGATGGAGGTGGGGACATCTTACAGCCCTGTTTAACTCCCAGTGATACAGTGGATGGAGGTGGGGACATCTTACAGCCCTGTTTAACTCCCAGTGATACAGTGGATGGAGGTGGGGGACATCTTACAGCCCTGTTTAACTCCCAGTGATACAGTGGATGGATGGAGGTGGCGGACATCTTACAGCCCTGTTTAACTCCCAGTGATACAGTGGATGGAGGTGGGGGACATCTTACAGCCCTGTTTAACTCCCAGTGATACAGTGGATGGAGGTGGGGGACATCTTACAGCCCTGTTTAACTCCCAGTGATACAGTGGATGGAGGTGGGGGACATCTTACAGCCCTGTTTAACTCCCAGTGATACAGTGGATGGAGGTGGCGGACATCTTACAGCCCTGTTTAACTCCCAGTGATACAGTGGATGGAGGTGGGGGACATCTTACAGCCCTGTTTAACTCCCAGTGATACAGTGGATGGAGGTGGGGACATCTTACAGCCCTGTTTAACTCCCAGTGATACAGTGGATGGAGGTGGGGGACATCTTACAGCCCTGTTTAACTCCCAGTGATACAGTGGATGGAGGTGGGGACATCTTACAGCCCTGTTTAACTCCCAGTGATACAGTGGATGGAGGTGGCGGACATCTTACAGCCCTGTTTAACTCCCAGTGATACAGTGGATGGAGGTGGCGGACATCTTACAGCCCTGTTTAACTCCCAGTGATACAGTGGATGGAGGTGGCGGACATCTTACAGCCCTGTTTAACTCCCAGTGATACAGTGGATGGAGGTGGGGGACATCTTACAGCCCTGTTTAACTCCCAGTGATACAGTGGATGGAGGTGGGGGACATCTTACAGCCCTGTTTAACTCCCAGTGATACAGTGGATGGAGGTGGGGGACATCTTACAGCCCTGTTTAACTCCCAGTGATACAGTGGATGGAGGTGGCGGACATCTTACAGCCCTGTTTAACTCCCAGTGATACAGTGGATGGAGGTGGCGGACATCTTACAGCCCTGTTTAACTCCCAGTGATACAGCGGATGGAGGTGGGGACATCTTACAGCCCTGTTTAACTCCCAGTGATACAGTGGATGGAGGTGGGGACATCTTACAGCCCTGTTTAACTCCCAGTGATACAGTGGATGGAGGTGGGGACATCTTACAGCCCTGTTTAACTCCCAGTGATACAGTGGATGGAGGTGGGGGACATCTTACAGCCCTGTTTAACTCCCAGTGATACAGTGGATGGAGGTGGGGACATCTTACAGCCCTGTTTAACTCCCAGTGATACAGTGGATGGAGGTGGCGGACATCTTACAGCCCTGTTTAACTCCCAGTGATACAGTGGATGGAGGTGGGGACATCTTACAGCCCTGTTTAACTCCCAGTGATACAGTGGATGGAGGTGGCGGACATCTTACAGCCCTGTTTAACTCCCAGTGATACAGTGGATGGAGGTGGCGGACATCTTACAGCCCTGTTTAACTCCCAGTGATACAGTGGATGGAGGTGGCGGACATCTTACAGCCCTGTTTAACTCCCAGTGATACAGTGGATGGAGGTGGGGACATCTTACAGCCCTGTTTAACTCCCAGTGATACAGTGGATGGAGGTGGGGACATCTTACAGCCCTGTTTAACTCCCAGTGATACAGTGGATGGAGGTGGTGGGGACATCTTACAGCCCTGTTTAACTCCCAGTGATACAGTGGATGGAGGTGGGGACATCTTACAGCCCTGTTTAACTCCCAGTGATACAGTGGATGGAGGTGGGGGACATCTTACAGCCCTGTTTAACTCCCAGTGATACAGTGGATGGAGGTGGCGGACATCTTACAGCCCTGTTTAACTCCCAGTGATACAGTGGATGGAGGTGGCGGACATCTTACAGCCCTGTTTAACTCCCAGTGATACAGTGGATGGAGGTGGCGGACATCTTACAGCCCTGTTTAACTCCCAGTGATACAGTGGATGGAGGTGGGGACATCTTACAGCCCTGTTTAACTCCCAGTGATACAGTGGATGGAGGTGGCGGACATCTTACAGCCCTGTTTAACTCCCAGTGATACAGTGGATGGAGGTGTGGGGACATCTTACAGCCCTGTTTAACTCCCAGTGATACAGTGGATGGAGGTGGGGACATCTTACAGCCCTGTTTAACTCCCAGTGATACAGTGGATGGAGGTGGTGGACATCTTACAGCCCTGTTTAACTCCCAGTGATACAGTGGATGGAGGTGGGGGACATCTTACAGCCCTGTTTAACTCCCAGTGATACAGTGGATGGAGGTGGCGGACATCTTACAGCCCTGTTTAACTCCCAGTGATACAGTGGATGGAGGTGACGGACATCTTACAGCCCTGTTTAACTCCCAGTGATACAGTGGATGGAGGTGGGGACATCTTACAGCCCTGTTTAACTCCCAGTGATACAGTGGATGGAGGTGGGGGACATCTTACAGCCCTGTTTAACTCCCAGTGATACAGTGGATGGAGGTGGGGGACATCTTACAGCCCTGTTTAACTCCCAGTGATACAGTGGATGGAGGTGGTGGACATCTTACAGCCCTGTTTAACTCCCAGTGATACAGTGGATGGAGGTGGGGGACATCTTACAGCCCTGTTTAACTCCCAGTGATACAGTGGATGGAGGTGGGCCCTGGACATCTTACAGCCCTGTTTAACTCCCAGTGATACAGTGGATGGAGGTGGGGACATCTTACAGCCCTGTTTAACTCCCAGTGATACAGTGGGATGGAGGTGGCGGACATCTTACAGCCCTGTTTAACTCCCAGTGATATTTTTGGATGACCAGTGAGAAAGTTCAACATAAATTACCATGTGAGGTAAAGCCTTCATCGAGAGAGACACGTGCTGGCTTTACATCCACATTTTCAATATTATCTGATACATCCGAGTGGCGTGCTACCAGTCTCCAGCTAGTATGAGCTTGCCCACATTCTGATATTGATATACACCCTCAAGCAGATGGGTAAAGAAAACCTCTGGGACAGAAGCTATTGTTGAACCGGCTGGTGGTTAGTATGAAACACGGATACACTGTTCCGAGGAGTGTTCGTTGGTAACAACAAGCCACATGACATCTTCAATATGGTTGTCTATCACTTCAACAGTATGAGTGGATAATAAGTGATTATCAATAAGTACCCCTACTCCACCAGAACCTCTCTTAGCCCCAGCATGAACATGTTTCCTGTTATGCCCATACCATGTAAAACCTTACAAATTAACGACTCCATATTTCTTTTTAAAACGATTCACACAAACATAAAATAACAAATTTAAAATCATTCACAACTTTTACTCTGAAAGAATTGTTATCACAGTTCTGGGTGGACCAGCCTCCCACATTCCAAAGACCAAGCCTTATTTCCTATTGTCCATTATCAGAAATGTTTGTTTTTCTAGTAACATAACCATTCTGCTGAGCACTAAGTTACTGTCTTTACATAGGTCTCGCAGAACTGTCTTCATATTAGCATGGGTTTTCCTTGCTTCTACAGACATGTGATTTTCAGTGAACACTTTATTGTAGGATGAGTGGTTCTTAGTTTCTTCTTTTCTTTCATCAGTTTTTCTTTCTGTTCAGCTGTCTCAACACACGCGACAATAACACCTGGGGCCTTGCCCATGGACTGCTTTCGTTCAACTTCTCACGACCACTTCACGCTCCATGTATCACATTCAGTCATACATCAAATCACTCCCTGGTTAACCGAGGCCGTTGGAGCATGTTTATCGTTTACATTCAGCCTTCCACTGCCACGGCGTCAAACACATCGGTCACAACTGCGATGTTATTTAGAGTGTACAGACAACATACGTCAGTTCGATCACAGCATTCCTGGATCATCGGCCGACGTTGATCACCAACTGATGACCATTATGATAATGTTTATACTAATCAGTTTGGTAAGTAAACTCATTATATGTTTACTCATCGTTGTTTAAGTATAAAACAAGAAAAGGTGATGTTGGTATTGACTAAACGTTAAGATGTTCTACCAGAACTCTCCATACCAATATTACGTAGATAGAGAATGCTAGCTTGCCAGTTATCTATTTTCGTACTGGCGTATATGTGTGTATGAAACGAATTGATCTGGAACACCTGAAGAAGAGACAGAGGGAGGGGGTAGGGGGGGAAAGAACAGGTTCATGAGAGAGAGAGGTGAGACGCAGAAGTGAGGGGTGGGGGGGGTGGTGCTGGGAACAGGTATATTCATATATTGAAGGTATTTATCGTCAGTGGGTAGCGGGAAAGGATAAGCACACAAGTTATATGCACACATTCATTGATCACTCGTAATATGATGGAGCGTTGTCTGGTTGCTATTTCCATCTACGTCCCACAAACAACAATAGTCCGCGAGGCGGGGGTAGGGGGAGGGGGAAGAACAGGTACTTTCATTCAGATCAGTCGTTCTAAATTCCTCATGGGGTTAAGACATTCATCGATGACTCGTAAACTGATATCCTGGTTGTTATTTCCATCTTCGTCCCCAACAATAGGCCGGCTTTAGGAGTGCGCACAGCTTACAATACGACTTGGGTCGACATGGGTCATTACTTTACCGGGTTGTTGAGAAAAGTAATGGAGAATGATGATAATTTCATGGATGTACAACGTCTCTATTCTGTGAAAGGTGACGTCAATGGTGAATCATTCTTCATCACCTCATCTTCTAAAATGCCAATCAAATATGTCAAACGTAATGTAGTCAAGCCAGTGGCGTTATAACGAGGTTTGTCTTCCAGGAAAACCACTATACACTTGTTAATTAAGAAAGAACGAAATGTAAGCTACATTCGTTGACATTTAATTACGTTCAAATCCATACACAGATCGTAACAGTGTGTTGTGCTTTTGATGTTGCGTCTTACCGAGGCAAGGAAGGTAACTCATTATAAACAGTCCAGTCTCCACACTCGCTGAACTTGGCTTGAGTTCAGGGCTTGATGTTTGCTGAACGAACGAGCCTGGGCATAGCGGAGTCAAAATCACGCAAAGGAATCGACGTCCTGATGACTGCCGTTCACATATCGGTCGATTACACACTCTTATCGTATGATCTCCAAACTATTTTCCAGATCCTGATGAAGGGTGTAACATGCAGCAGCCTTGCTAGTGGCTGTTACACCAGCTACAGTGCAGCCTACCAGGGGAAGGTCACCAACTGTCAAAATCAGAATCTCACTCAAGTGCCATCAGATCTTCCTAAGGACATCGTAGTTTTGGATTTGCAAGATAACCTACTCATCAGTATACCCAACAACAGTTTTAGCACTTTACGGAAGCTGAGATTCCTATTCCTCAGCCACAATCCGTTAAAGACACTGCAGAGAGAAGCTTTCAAAGGTCTGGATAAACTGGAAACCTTGGAAATGTCTTGTGGCACGCTCTCATTGGGACGTAACAACGTACCCAGATGGGCTGTTCCAGCATCTAGTTCATCTGAAGAGATTGGTTCTTATAGGAAGTATAAATGGTGACGCACCATTTCCTACTGATATTGTTCAAGGCCTGAAAAGCCTGGAAGAGCTGCATATTAACTCATGGCCTGAAGGCGGAAAGTGGCCTCAATTAGAACAAGTGAAAGACACACTCACATTTCTGGACATCGACACAATTGGAGTACCTATTCTTAGAAATTCAACATTTCAAGCTTTGCGTGACATTCCACTTAAAATATTTTTTGTAAATGGACTCCGTACAAACATAGAAGTAGGAACATTTTGCCCCTTTACGAACCTAACCAAGCTTTCGATATCTACCTCGTATGGAAGCTCAATTAAGTTAGTCTCTATAACAAGAGCACTTCAGTGTTTAGCTGGAAGAAAGTTGGAGGAAATAATTCTAACCCGAGTTGTAACCACAGGGGAAACAGTGTGACGCTAACAGAGGAAATGTTTAGCTATCTTTCAGATATATGTGTAAAGAAGGTAGACTTGTCAAACAATAAGATTACGCAAGTTGATGGTAATGCCATAACCAATTCCACCTTTTTCAGATGTATTGAATATCTGGACTTGTCCAAAAACATGTTTAATGGGGGCATGTTTATACCTGTTGTAATGAAACTGTACTTCATGGAAAATCTTAAATATCTAGATTTGTCCACACTCCATAGAATGAGCAGTTATCTCACTCATACATATAACACTACAACACTTTCTGGTTTGTTCACTGGGCAACCTGGATGTCTCCCAATACCTCCTAGTCTCAGTTATCTGAACCTCAGCGGAGTTTCCAATTCTAACCATGTACGTGTTGGTGTAACACTGACACAAAGCGATCATCTGTCTGTGTTAGACTTTTCAAGAAACGAAGTTTTAGACATTCCTGCACATTTAGAATGTTGTAAAAACCTGAAACTCTTGAACATATCGCACATGAAGATCCAACAGAATGTATTCAACAACACCAACATGGTGACGAATCTGGAAACATTGCTGGTTCACGATGTGACGTCAGATGATGACATGTTTGTGTCGCCAACTGAACCCTTCTTCCATGCCATGCCCAAACTAACAAGACTCGATTTGTCAGGCAATAATCTACAACTTATCAACAAAAATACTTTTACAAACTTTAACAAACTGGAAAACCTTTCTCTTGCAAGAAACCGACTAAATGACCTTCCGGAAGAAATCCTGACAATGGTTTGGCTCAAACATTTGGATGTGACATCGAATTCCCTCTCAGTCATCAGTAAGTACCAACAGACCTTGCTTGATGACATCGTTGTAAATAACGGTTCCTTCTACCTCTACATGGCAGGCAACATCTTCAGCTGCAGCTGTGGAACCCTTCACTTCATACAGTGGTTACAGGAAACTGATGTCTCTTTAGATGACCATGGCAACTACAGTTGTATCCTTGGTGATGGAACGTTATCTGATACAGCTTCCTTTTATGCCAGAAGGACATTCCAGTGGAGAACATGTGTTGGTCAGTTCTGGTTGGCTGTGGGCGTAGTTGGAAACCTGATTGCGCTGTTGTCTTTGCTTGTAGCCTTTCTTGTCATGAAATATTTCCCCAAAATAGAGCACCATGTGTTACAGGTGCTTGGTTATAAGCCTGGACGCCGACCAAAAAGGAAGGATTTTGATTATGACGCCTACATATGCTATGAAAGTGCTGAGTACGATTGGCCTTGCCACTGTTTGTTCAAGGAGCTCCCCCAGGTCTCCCCAGGTATACGACTGTACCTGCCCGATCTACATGACCCTGTAGGATGTTCCCAGGCAGAAGTGACCATTGATGCATTGTCGAGAAGCTGGAAAATTGTTATTGTGCTAACAGAGAACTTTCTTAAGGACGAGTGGATTCACTTTACTGTCCTGTCCACTGTCAGACTGATGTCCGTGAACAACGCAATATCAGACCGAGTGCTGCTTCTGTACAGGGATATGTCCTTGGCAGCAAGAGCTCGGGTTCCTCATCTTCTCCTCAACGTTGTTTCAGGGGAATATATTCTAGATGTGGAGGACAGCCCCCACTTCTGGACACATCTGTGTCAGTGTATCCTTACAGATAAACCCACAGCCTTATTCTAAAGTGTACCACTCTTCCGAGTTATGAGTATGGTTTTACACCGATTCTGGCAACGTTCCAGCACCAAGGTCCTTTACATATTGTACCCATGTAGGGCAGATAAAATCGGTTGCCATTTAGTCGGCAGCATGTATGAGACCACCCCACCAATCCTTACCAGAATACCCTCAGCCACACTTACATGTAAAACTGCTGGTTATAATCATGTCTCATAATAATTATATGTGATGTTCTTGCGCCACATAATCGCCTTGAATGTGAGCTGACTGCGTAATTGGTATTCTTGTTATCAAAGGTCAAACTAGTATCCATGGTGACGGATCCAGTCTTTTATCGCTCGTTGATATGCAAGTTAATTCATTGATAGGCAAATATACTATTCACTCTTTGCTAAGGATCAAATCATTGATTCAACAGAAAACTATGATGTTGGGTAAAATTTAGTTTAAATATCTAAGCCTATTGTAAGCATAGATAATAATAATAATAATAATGTGTCTATTTATATAGCGCCAAACTCCACACTAGGTATGCTCATAGCGCTAACAATCAAGGCCATTATTACCCCGGATAACCCAAGCTGCCTGTTAGGCGCTAGAAGGTTATAGTCATATGACTTTTTTCCACCGGGTACCCATTTTCCAGCTGGGTGAACAGAGACAATTTTGAACAAACTCACTTGCCTAAGGTGAGACCACATGTGTCACATGTGCTTCATTGTGGGGCAGGACTCAAGTCCTAGAAACTCTCAAACTGCCGAACACGTTCACCCATCCAAGGACTCTCCGAGCTCGACGCTGCTTAACTTCACCGATTTGTGACCTGAGCTTTGAGCACAGGTCCACGCGCCACCACGATCCAGGTTTTCAGTATGTCACTGCATCTGGTGGATCCCTTACCTGTTATTGACAGGTGGTGTGTACTTTGCAGTGACCCGTGCCATGATTTGCAAAATGGTTGTTTGGTGCCATAAAAACACTTTTATGGTTACTCAAGTTTCAATCGCATACAGTTAGCTTAAAGTGGCTGTTTTCCTAAAGATGTGTTACCCCCTATCATTATTTATCCAGTTTTAAAAGGATACAATTTCAAATTATAAATATACGTTTAAGTAAAGTTGTGATTTTCTGTGATCCTCAGCAAAGTGTGAGTAGTATATATGCAAAGCGTCACGGGTCAGAGAGGTCAATCAGTAATCCATTGTTCTATTGCGCCAGTGAAATTCACGACCCGATCCTTCATTAAGCTGAGAACAATTCATAGTAATAAATGCCCATATAAGGTAGTTCTTTCCAACGACAGGATACAAGTCTGGATATTGGTTACACGAAAGTCTTTCAGTGTCTCTTAAGTTAGCAAACAAACTTGATCCCTCACAGGACCATAGTTGTGGCTGACGTTGATCTAAACTTATTGCTTATGAAAGGGTGTTGACCTTGTCCCTCGGTGTTCTCAAAGGACTGATCCCGCCTTGCCATCTATGATACACCATCTCCAAGTCGGTATAATAGGTTAAACCAGTGTTATATGTTACTCGCCCAATTCATTTTATTTTTTGCAAATCTGGTCATGCAATAAATGTCAAGTGAAAAATATTCAACTTCAATACAATAATGTCTTTCAGTGGCATTTAGAAGTTGTACATTGATGTCCAAGATATTTTTATGGATTAAACTTCTTTATAATTACGATGCTTGAGACCATTCCAGGTCACCTGATGAAGGGACCTGGAATGGTCTCGAAACGTCGTGAGGGAAATTATAAAGAAGTTTAATCCATTAAAATATCTTGGACTTCAATACAATAGATAGAAGCGACAAAACCATTTCCACATCCATAAGAAATCTCTGGAGTCGATTGTGACTACATTATGAGTATGTATAATTTGTTTCCGCAGTATTACAGCTGTACGATGTTCCTTGTAAATAATCGAATCTGGACAAGACAATCCAGACATATTTTTTCAGCATTTCGGCCTCATAGCGAAGAATACAGTTGTATTTCGATAGAAATAGAAGCGACGATACTATTTCCACATTCATAACAAATTTCTGCTAAAAGCAGATTCGATGTACAATTGTGACTATATCATGAGCAGATATGAGCACCATTACAGCTGTTTGATGTTGTTTGTAAGCAAATCGAGTTTGAACCAGACAATCCAGTGATTGTCACTATGCACTACGATGGCAGAACATGTGTTTATGAATCACTATGAAAGAGTGATGACACCAGGTGTTCCCGAAAAGGTGAGCGTATCCTTGAACAGATACAGCAATATCTCAGTAGATATTAGTATTTAGTGGTCCTGATGAACTTTTACTGGCTAGCGACCACATACATTTTGCACACTGTAAGTGCTTTATACAGATTTAGATTATCTCTTCATGATTTTGATATTAACAATCTAAGTAAAAACAAAAATGAACATGTGCATACTCTCTGTCTGCTATGTGATCTTAAAGTTACTGGAGACGAATTCCACGTCCTGTTTATTGTGAAAAATATCATGACCCAAGATTAAAATATCTTTCAGGCCTATCCAATGTTAATCACTACTCAGTGAACCTCTTGTGTAACATGTTAAATGCAAACAATGACGATACTTTATGAGCACTCGCCATTTTTCTTCAAAATGTAGTTTGCAGTGGTCCTGATGGACAGTGAATTTGTATTGCTAGTAAACCTGAGAATGTTATTTTGATCCAGTGAAGTACAGACAGGGCCTCTAATTATTGTCCACTCACTGGTCCTGTGGTCTGGTGGGAATTTTTGAAAGGTTAGAGACACATTTAATATTTTTTCAGGCTGTAAGTCTTAATGCTACTATAATTACTTAAATAGTGGGAAGATGATCTAAAACTATGCCAATTTTGGAACTCAATAGCTTCCAACCGTTGATTCAATGTAGTTGTAAACATGATAGAATCAGCAACACTTTGTGATAACCAAACGTAGGTAAAACCTGGGTAAAGTAGTAAGTTTCTGAGATTTGACACCCAGTTTTCCTTTCCAACACATTATATGAAGTATTTTTATCCGATATTTTATAACCCTAATCTGTGTTGAAACAAACGTGTGGCGTCCTGTTTTACCAAGTATAGCCTTATTGGATGCGAATTAGACTAATGCTTAGTCTCTGAATATATATAACTTTGATAGTAACAAACAAGCCCATTTAATTGAAAGGAGCCCCAGGGAGACCAGAGATTCAGAACCTAGACTTGCTTCATTTGGGGCTTTAGTAGTGCAGGGAGGGCTAGGCTTTTGCCCATTTCAACGTTGATGAATTCAGGACGCCTAAATACTTATAATATGGTATAAATTGGAGATTTATGTTGTTTAGTACGAAAGCCTAATGCTGCCACTTTTGTAGCATAAATATTTTTTTCTACTACAATTCTCGTTGCTTCGAATATTTTACTCGTTACTTCGAGTATTTTCTCGTTACTTCAATAAGTTTCTCGTTACTTCGAGTTCTTTTCTCGTTACTTCAAGTTCTTTTCTCGTTACTTCAAGTTTCTATCAAAAACTTGAAATTTCAAATATTTTCTCGTTACTTCAAGTTTCTGTCAAAAACTTGAAATTTCAAATATTTTCTCGTTACTTCAAGTTTCTGTCAAAAACTTGAAATTTCGAGTATTTTCTCGTTATTTCAATAAGTTTCTCGTTACTTCGAATTCTTTTCTCGTTACTTCAAGTTTCTATCAAAAACTTGAAATTTGAAATATTTTCTCGTTACTCAAGTTTCTGTCAAAACTTGAAATTTCGAGTATTTTCTCGTTATTTCAATAAGTTTCTCATTACTTGAGTTCTTTTCTCGTTACTTCAAGTTTCTATCAAAACTTGAAATTTCGAGTATTTTCTCGTTATTTCAATAAGTTTCTCGTTACTTCGAATTCTTTTCTACTTCAAGTTTCTGTCAAAACTTGAAATTTCAAATATTTCTCGTTACTTCAAGTTTCTGTCAAAAACTTGAAATTTCGAGTATTTTCTCGTTATTTCAATAAGTTTCTCGTTACTTCGAGTTCTTTTCTCGTTACTTCAAGTTTCTATCAAAAACTTGAAATTTCAAATATTTTCTCGTTACTTCAAGTTTCTATCAAAAACTTGAAATTTCAAAAATTTTCTCGTTACTTCAAGTTTCTGTCAAAAACTTGAAATTTCGAGTATTTTCTCGTTATTTCAATAAGTTTCTCGTTACTTCGAGTTCTTTTCTCGTTACTTCAAGTTTCTATCAAAAACTTGAAATTTCAAATATTTTCTCGTTACTTCAAGTTTCTGTCAATTGTTCGGTTCTGTTTGGCCCTGGCCGTCAAAAGCTTCATAGATCTCACACACATGTATCTTGAATTTTGTTTAGATCCATAGATCAGTATTATATCTACCTTAATATAATTTTCAATGTTAAAAAATGCCACATGTAAAGATAACTGGTCCGTTAAAGTGAAGCCCATTTCCCCCTCCATTCCCAACATATCCAGCTTCTATCAAAAGTGTTAAGTCTATGACTTGTCCCGGGCCATAATAAGAAACTTAAACATCACACATGGATCCTGAATTGTAGATATATCTAGTTATAGCTACCTAAACCCTCTTTATGAAGTCTCAGATTGAAGTAATTTGAACGATCACGTTGCTCAAGCGGGGCCCTTAGCCTCATTCTCCACATGTCACAAGTCTATCGGACCACTGTCATATGAATCCCTGTTCTCATATTTGTTTGGTCTGTAGCTTTCCATGGCAAATATCAAACCGATACCCATCGAATGTTACCATTTAAAAAGTATGCCAGAAACACAGGCGAACAACCTGCCTAATATAAGGTAGTATTGTTGTGTTGTTGTTTTGTTAACCCCTTTCACGTACGAATCATAATACTATGTATCATTCACACTCCGATATGGTTGTCAACATATATATGTAGTATGGATGCACTCAGTTCGTCCGTAGCGTCAGTTTTTAAAAGTAAAGAAAGAAAAGACATTGCCCACGCAAACAAAACATGAAATAATAGCGACAAAGCGCCTTCCATATCCATAAGAAATCTCTTAGAAAAGCAGAGTCGATAGTAAACGTTCGGACTATATTATGAGTATTTGTAAATATCGAGTCTAGGCCAGACAATCCATTGGTGGACATAATGACAGAGCATATGTTTATGAATTACTAGATACCAGGTGTTCTCGAAAAGGTGTGGGTATCCTGTCCCACTATATGGACATCCTAGGGAATTGTTCACCTAGGAAAGATTAGGGAACGTATGGTACAAGTCTAAATAGGGAACTGCAACGTGTACCATTTGTCACTGATGCAACACATTTTGAGAATGTTGCTACCTTCTTTGATGCAAGTATCTTACCTTCACCCACTGCTTAGTGGTGGCAGATAAAGCAGCTGTCAGTTGGGACAGGAAAGAAGAAGATATGGTTTTAAGAACAAATCAACATCTCGCAAGGGGA